AAAAAAAAAAAAAAAAAAAGGGTAAAATGTAAGAATCAAGAAATTTTAGTAATTAAAAAAAAAGAAAAATTATAAGTGAAAGGAAGTCTACAGAACAGCTTAAGTCTCAAAGCACACATAGGACTATTAACAATTAACTTGGAATTTGTTTTAATTGTCTATTTGCACATAACACTTAACATAGTGCGTGGCACACAGCAACAACAAAAAATGTATGTTGAGGGCAGCGCCTGTGGCTCAATGGGTATGGTGCCGGTCCCATATACTGAGAGTGGCAGGTTTGAACCCGGCCCCAGCCAAACTGCAGTAACAACAACAACAAAAAATAGCGGGGTGTTGTGATGGGTGACTGTAGTTCTACCTGCTTGGGAGGCTCAGGCAAAGCCCAAGAGCTGGAGGTTGCTGTGAGCTGTGACACCACAGCACTCTACTAAGGGTGACAAAGTGAGACTCTGTCTCTAAAAAGAAATAATGTATGTTGAATGAATCATAAGGTCCTAATTAGGTAAGTATAGTTTAATAGATGTGAGTTAGAACCTTTATTTTGTTTGTTTTAGGGCAATATATTTTTGCTTAACTTTCTGTATCAGATTTGCAGTCTTCATATTTAGCCTTGAAGCAAAGCCTTTCCTCTCTTACTGAAAGATATTTTTGGGATAGTACTCTATTGTATTTTACCTGGCTAAATGTGTATGTATGTACATTATGTTCACAAGAGAAAATGACCTCAGCTAAACAGATATGAACAGACTTTTGCAATTTTATAAAGGTTCCACATATGGAAGTGAAATCATCATTTGCAGAATTACCTACAGACTTTACTATGTTTTTGTTTCTATTCTTGTACATATATGAAAAATATCAAGTATTAATATTAAGATGTAGAACAAAGAAAAAGAAAAAAATTAGGTTATCAGCTTAATAGAAATTATATGAATTTAAATTCCATGCTGCAAATGCCTATTATCTATCTATATTAGCTCCTTCTCAAATGTTTTATAGCTTTTCAAATCATTAAAAAAAACCCTTTTAAGTCCTTTGTCCATAAACGTGAGACGTTATCAACATCTTTGATAGGCAGCAATTATATTCAGCTTTTAATATAGTTTCAAATGCAGCATATCAAATAGAAAGTAGGAGTCAGTATTAATCAAGTCTTAGTGTATGGTCTGTTTGCCATTTAAATTCAGCTTCATGTCCAGAAAAAAAGGACAGAAAATTACTGAAGGACTAATTAAGAAAGCTGACAGAGGATAATCACAAATCAAGTAACAAGAAAAAGAAATATAATAACTTACAGAAGCCCAAATATATTTGTTTCAAAATCACAATTCAACGAGACATAGTAAGAAGCTTTGCTGCTAACAGATTCATCTTACAGGGGTGTCCAACCTGTGGCCCATGGGATGCATGCAGATTGTTTAAAGACTGCTATCTGTGGTGCTGGAAATCACAAGTATGCAGGGATCTTTTATCATGCTCATCAGCTTTCATGAGCATTTGTGTATTTACTGTGTGGCAGAAGACAACTTTTCTTCCAGTATGCAGCAGAAAAGAAAATAGGTCAGACAACCCTGAAAGAAGTTTACAAAGTATAAAACCCTGTGTAAATACAATATTGTAGGTGAAAAAATGAAATTTACCTTTATATGTTCTAAAACAGCAGTGGCAACATTTGTATGGAGATCAATAAGTCTTTTTTTTTCAAGAAGTTCTGGCAAAGAACTACAAGTACAAAAAATTAAAAATTAGCCATTACATTTTCTAAAATGATATAGACTTTAATAAAACTCATGCATGGGTGTTTTCTCTGAGGAAACTAAGAATAGTGAAACAATGACAAAATGACAATTTAAACTGTCTATCAAATGAATTTAATCTCTAGGCATGAAGACATACATATTCATTACTTTAATATAGGAATAATCATAATGCTTCTTATTTTAAAATAACCTGGGCTGGATGTAGCGGCTTATGCATGTAATCCTACTACTTTGGGAAGCTGAGGTGGGAGGACTGCTTGA